GCCGTGTTCAATGTCCTGAATCCGAATGTATGATTGTCGGTCAGTGAGGAATTGTTTAATATAGTTGAAAGTGTTTTGGCCACAATCCACCTGTGAGAGATGTGTTAGAATAATTTCGTGGGTCACGTTATCAAAGGCCCCCTTCAGATCCAAAGCGAGCACAACTTTGTCATTCAGGGGATACTCGACTGGATCGAGGATCTCATGGGCGAGCTGAAGCAAGACATCTTGCGCGGACCGGTGTGGGCGGAACCCGAACATGGTGTCTGCAAATGCATTTTTGGTCTCCAGGAACGCGGACAACCTGTCGCGCACCATCGTCTCCATTAATTTTCCCACACAAGAAGTAAGGGAGATGGGGCGGAGGTTGTCCGTGTTAATGGCTTTGCCCGCTTTGGGTATGAAGGTGACCAGGGCGGTCTTCCACTCAATTGGTAGGCTTGTTTTCCCGATCCAAATGGAATTGATGTAGGCAAGGAGCATGGTGTAGGCCAAGTCAGGAAGATTGGCAAGTAATTTAACGGTAATTTTATCCATTCCCGGCGCCGTTCCTCGCCTCATTTTTGCTAGGGCTGCCTTCAGGTCGTGTAACTGGAACAGTTGATCCAGCTCCGCGTTGTCGGTACCTGCATACGAGTACGCCGGCCCTCGGGAGTCCTGCTGTGTGCATAGATATTGGTCTCGGAGTTTACATGCCAATTTGGCTGCGTCTCCGTCGAAGCTGTGAAATGCTCGTTGCAGATGCTTTTGTGTCTCTGTTCGAGTTTGGGTCGGATCAATCAAGGCGCGGAAGAGGCGCCAGGTTTTCGGCTGGACATTTGTCGAGCGGCCGTATTGCAACGGTCCACCCAGTTAGAGTCAGCGAGCTGGGCCGCGTTCTCTGCTGCTCACTGGGTGAGCTCAACGATGCGAATTTGGAGCTTTCGGTTGTGTTTTTGCCGGCGCCATCAGCGGACGAGGCTGCGCCGGTCCTCCCAGAGGTGAAGGAGATGGTTATCCACCGCCGGAGTCACCTCGGAGAGTTTAATTTGTGTTTCTGTGGAGCGTAATGAGGAAACCAGTTGCTGGGACCAATCATGGTATCCTTGCTACACAATGGGTGTCGAATTGGCGTATATTTGCCGAAACTTCGTGTAATCGGGTAATTTTGCCTCTCCGTAGGGTCTTGCCAAAGGATAGGTGCGAATGGTAGTGTTGAGTATGCAGTGGTCGCTGCCGAGGGTCTCTTCAGTGTTGACCCAATCCGCATACTGAATGTTTTTTGTGAGGGTAAGGTCCGGACATGCGTCCCGGGTCACGTAGTTACCCACGCGAGTTGGGTAGGCAGGGTCGGTGTGAAGAGTTAGGCCCAGCGTGGACATAAGTTCCGCCAATTTACGTCCACGTTTCTCTTCACGTGCATATCCCCAGAGTGTGCTGGGGGCATTAAAATCACCCACGATCACCAGAGGGTCCCTGCCTGCAGCCTTTAAGGTGCGGCTAAAAAGGTCTGTGAATGTAATGTTGCTTAGTTTCGGTGAGCAATAAATGTTTAGCACGTGCAGTGGCGGGTCCTGTTTACGCAGCGGAAGGAGTGTCACCATCACGTACGAGAAAGCTGGCTTAGGGTCGAGATCAACTAGATTGGCCGTATAATTTTTGTGCACGCAGGTGCAGGATAAAGGGTCCTGCTGAAACGTAGTATAGTTTGTGAGTGTGGCAGCACTCCCTGGCTCCTGGAGGGCTACCACAGCAGGAAGGTTTTGAAATGCTGCGAGGAAAAGCCGGAGGTTGGCGCGCTTAGTGTGAGCCTTAAAGCCCCGACAATTCCACTGGGTGATTTGGATTGGAGTGGCCGTATTTCGCAGTGACGCCGCTCGTTCACTGTCAGGCTCAATCGTGGAGTGCCAGTACATTCCGAAGCTGCATCCATGATGTCGCGGGCGAGCTATCTATTGGCTAACAACCTAAACGCAATTAATGAAGTGTTTCCCATTAATTCTAGACTTAATGCTATGGACGATGTTTCCAAATACGGGTTTGCCTGATTATACTGTATACAATTACGTGCATCAGCTCCTCGTGCTTCCCCACTTAAATCAAACAACGGATTTCAGTGTCAGTGGAACCAAAACTACGCAGCTGAACAAAGAGTACCGCCTGTAGTGAGAATAATGTTCGGGGCATCGGCAAATTTACGCTCGCCATAAGTGGTTCAGCTTCAAAACATTACGCAATCGTCTACGATGACAGTGAAACCGAATGACGTGATACTGGTAAGAAATTCCTACGTGGGGAAGCATGTGGGCCGGCACACATGCACATGCTGTTTTCTTACCGATGCATATTTAGCGAAACAAAACAATGAAGTAGCTTGCTTACCTTACAAAGGCGTTTGCGCCGACCTGCCCATGAATTCGGCGTGCCGCACTCAGGAAGTGCGGTAGAAATTGATAGACCATGCAGGCATCTGACGGCAAAAAGGAAACCTTCAAGGTAGGCACAACGTTAACTAACAACATTCGGCGAGGAGCAGCAGAAATGAATAACCACTTTAACGAAGCTGCGTGAAAACGATGGACATGGCTTACCGTGGGCGATGGGACTTGAAGGTCTGACATCAGCGGTCGTCGTTCGTCGTTGCTTTAATATTTTGACCGACAGAAACACGTACGACATCGCCACAAGAGCGCCAGATTTCTCCGCTCGCGTGGAGGAAGGAATCCGTTCGTTCGTGACGGCCATATTTTCATTTGTAGCGCGGTGGCGGCGTCCGCTTTGAAAAAGCCGGGTGGGAGCCCGAGCTCGGGAGTAGTTGCTTTCCAAAAAAAAAAGATAAAAAGCAACGCAACGTCACATTCGGTGAGAACACGGAGTGGGTGAGAAGGATTTTCTTTCCCCTCTATGTCTTTCCCGTCTTTCTTTTTCCCTCTTTCATCTCGCGCATGCGCAGACACTACAGAGACCTCAGATACGATGTTTCAAGTCTGTAGCCTAGGAAACTGTATGCTCCTTCTAGCCACCATATCTCGGCGCACACCTCTACAAGTTGCGCCTATAGCCATTCCCCCAAGTGGTGTTCTGTGATTCCCCATCTAGGCCTTGGCTGTGCTGAGTTGTTCTGTGGTGCAGCGCAAAACACGGCGTGGGAAGTCGTATGTGCTCTAGCAACGCCTCCTCTAGAAGATGCCTGCCGCATGAGAAGAAAAACGGCTGCCACCACCCTTTCTCTCTTTTATTTTAGAATGTTCTCGGTCGCTAGTGTCACCTGTGACGGACGGTGCAACAACGCAACACTTTGCATAGCCTCCGAAATAGCGGTGTACAGTTGCAGGTCTCGAACAACTCTCGACTGACGCGTTCCTATGGGCCGCAGATGAAAAACGCTTAGCTGGTACCAAGGAGGATATAAAAACTTGCTTTTTATATCCTCCTTGGCTGGTACCGCCCGCTGCCGTGATAATAGATGGATGGATGGATGGATATGGCTGTACCCTTTAGATCAGGCGGTGGCTAGCGCCACCAAGCCGTACTACCTAATTAACCTAAAATTATATTTATTTTTTTTCCTTAAAAAGTGAGTTTGAGGATTTGTACTTTGCAGTGAAGAGTTTATTTTCACTCGTGCCTTGACTTTAGCCACCAATCATATAACCTCCTTCTAGTTAAGTCTACCCGCTTAAAGTTTATTTTGCCCTCCCGGTCCCTGAACCCCAGTGCTTTGAAAAACTCTGCGCCATCATCCTGAACTATAGGGTGAAGCCCTTTACAGAACATTATCAAGTGTTCGGCAGTTTCTTCTTCCTCTCCACACGCACTGCATACTGTGTCTACCCCTTCGTATTTGGCCCGATATGTCTTGGTTCGCAGTACTCCCGTCCTGGCCTCAAACAGAAGAGAACTACCCCGAGTATTATCATAGATCCTTTCCTTGGCAATTTCCTGCTTAAAAGTTCGATAGATCTCTAGTGCGGACTTCTTAATCATGCCCATTCTCCACATGTCAGTCTCCGTTTCCTTCACTTTCTTCTTAACCGATAGTTCTTTTTGGTTTGGCCACCTGCTGTTTTCTGAGTATTTACCAGTCAACTTCCTGGTTCGCTTCCTCCATTTTGTATCGACATTCTTCATGTACAAGTAGCTGAAAACCTTCCTAGCCCAACGCTCTTCCCCCATTTATCTCAATCGCTTCTCAAATTTTATCTTGCTGCTAGCTTCCCTGCCCTCAAATAATGTCCATCCCATATCACCTTCTACTCCCTGATTTGGTGTATTCCCGTGAGCTCCTAAAGCAAGCCTACCTATTCCACGTTGCTTAATTTCTAATCTTGCTTGAACTTCTGATCTCATGCACAAGACGGCATTGCCGAACGTCAGCCCAGGAACCATGACCCCTTTCCATATTCCTCTCACAACATCATACCTATTGTAATTCCACAGTGCCCTATTTTTCATGACTGCTGCATTCCTGTTACCTTCAGTCGTCACGTATATTTCGTGTTCCCTCAGATACTCGGTCCCATTGCTTATCCATACACCCAGATATTTGTATTTATCTGTTATCTCTAGCGTGACCTCCTGTTTTCTAAGCTCACTACCTTCGTTGTCATTGAAAATCATGACTGCTGATTTTTTCCTTACTGAATCTAAAATCTAACTTATCTCCATCATTACCGCAGATGTCCATCAATCTCTGCAAATCTTCCTTGTTGTTGGCCATTAGCACTATATCATCTGCGTACATTAATGCTGGTAGTGCCTTATCAATAAGTTTTCCTTGTATGACTAAAGAGAGGTTGAAGCCCAGTCCACTTCCCTTTAATTTTGCCTCTAATCCTTGTAGGTACATCATGAATAATAAGGGTGACAGGGGACACCTCTAAACAATGCCAATAGTCTCGGTCGCGAGCGCACCGCGCGGCGCTTGCTCAAAACTGCAGGCAGGCCAACTCCGCTGGGAGCGCGAGCCATTCCCCAGGCATTGTTTAGAGGTGGCGTTGGCTCTAGTAACCGCCGCGTACCGGCGTTAGAAGTTTCTGTATTTGCCTTTTTATGATTTTTTTTTCTACCGCTTCCCTACTCTAGTGTGGCTCATTCTTGCCACCCTACCTACGCCGGGGCAACGAGCTCCCCAGTTGGCTCTTCAGAAGGAAGTTTCGCTCGCAGGATTTCAAGCTGGACGGTTGTGCCCTCGCGATCTCCGACTTCAGCGTAGCTCCCGCCGACTGGTTCGCCCTCCGCGGTCTCCTGACGCCGTGTAGCTCTCGCATTGTGGCACCCCGCCCTTGGACTGCTTCGACCGGATCCCCACTTTCCTATCTCCTTCTTTTTCCTCTCGTTGGCTGTCTTCTTCTGCTTCTACTTTCCTTCTATTCTTTTTATCCCTCCTTCCCCCCACCCCCTGTAAGGCACTGCGCCGTGTCGCCTGAAGGCAGACAGAAATTAGGTGCCTTTTTCCTCTTCATTCTAATCACTACCACCACCTCTTCAGAAGGAAGTATGGCTTCTGAAGCAACAGACGCCGTGTTGAGCGCGGCGGCAGAGCCGCCGACTCTCAGCAGCGGTCAGCAAGCTACTGTAGTGTGCGGGGAAGCTTCAGAATCGGACGACGAGGACCTCAGCGTTTCGATCAGTACAGTCGCCAGCGATCTCAGCTTGTTGAGTGCCAGTGAAAGTGTTACATCGAGCGAGCGTCGATCTGCGGAGCCTAGCCAGCACAGGACACTTCTGCACCGAAAACTCCGTGAACGCAACGCAAGCTTGCGCAAGAGCGTATGCGAACTGTTGCAGCATCCATATCAGAACGCTGCTCGCGAACTTGGGGCAATTTCTCAAAATCTTGTTCGTTCGCATCAACTTCTGCAAGAAGTGTCTACCTCCCTCAGGAAACTGACCAACGAGCTCTTCCAGATTGAGGACAAACTCGACACTATACAGCACTGCAGTATCATTCCAGAGATAACGATTCCGCCGCCTAATCCCCGAGTGTCACCAGAATGCCTGTGACTCTGTCTTAGTAGTGCGAACATCTAATAAGCGATACGATAATATTGGTAATCGCCAACATGGTTAATGTGAGAGGCCTCTTGCGCCTGTCATGTTGCTTAAGTACCACTGGTTGCCGAGATTTGTTTGCACGTGCTTCGATTGCTGTCGCTAATAATAAGACAACTACGTTCATTGCAATTAAATACTTTATTTACTGCAGAGACTCGGCTGTTAAAAAATATAACAGTTTCTGTGAGCACCTTGTGTGACTGCAAGAACATCGACACTAATTTGAATGGCTGTTTCAAATCTGGCAGTGCTGCTTAAGCATGTTTACAAAGTTTTGAACAGAAGGCTTTAACATTCTGCAACACTTCCAGCTGTTGCAATTTCCAATAGTATGAAGCCTATTATACACTTGGTATTTTCTTTACATGCAAATTTTTACGCCTGTTCTTATAGCATCCGAAGACGCCCACATGTAGAGCATAGTGCACATCTGCATGGAAGACTGCATGAGCCGTAAGGACTAGCAGGCTAGAGATGTGCTCTCTAGGTTAAGCTTTCATCCTTTCCCTTCTTTAAACAGCATATAAAGGGGGTATGGTTGGGTATACAGACCAATAAAACCATTTTTTTTTATTTCATTGCTAAAAAAATAATACACACCCTGAGGAAAAAAAAACCATGCATCGACCAACACGTTAAAGTGCTCCAAGCCATTTAAAAATGGCACCCGAGACTGATATGCAGGCTGTTTTCTAACACTGTTTGTGCGTCTATACATATCTTTAACAATAATTGTGGCCTGATTGGTTGAACATATTTACTTCCTACCATTTTCATACTTTTTGATCAGAAATGTCCCACTCAATGCATTTTCAAAAGAATTACAACTGTATGTTGTGAGCATGTTTCACGGGCATTTTTTTTTATGATCAGTTTTTTTTAACATTTGCAGAACTTTATGTACCTTTCCTGAATAACTATCCGACTAATCGGACTCAATTTTTTTTCATTATACCTAAATTCCTTCCAAATAACCTGAACCTAAAACATTTACTAACTGTTCCAATTCACAATAAAGAATAAAAAAAGATTAATAAGAAAGTATCCCTAATGACACATCACAAAAGAGGATAATTTTTTTTCTCTTGTGAAATAAATATAAGAGCCATTTTTAATAGGTTTTTATTAATACCACAATAATGTTGAATGAGTGTGCCAAATATCATGGTCATACTATTCTTGGTTTTTGAGGAAAGATAAATTGAATTTTGTTCACTAGTCTGAAATTCAGTGCTCCAAGAAAAGCAAGAAGGCAAAGCTACAGGGTTAGACATTTAATACATTGAACGCCAATATCTCTCTTATTAAGCACGCAAAACGTCAGCTGAAAATATGGTACAGTTCTAAACATATAAAGCTGAAACCAGGATCACCTGCTTACTCTACCGACATCAAATTTCCTCATGCCAGGATTTTTGCGTCAGCGAATAGCTATAGACCTCGTAGCAGCAATTCGTGACCTAAAACACAACTAAGAGATGAATAACTATCACTTTTATTAATTTATATCGCTGGTATCTAGCACTATTCAAAACAGCCGGCCATCCCACCATTTTTAGCGCTGGGAGCACCAGAAGTGGCGCTACCTCGCGGTCACTTCCAGATCACGCCACAGCTGACCACTTCACAGAAAATAGTAACGTCAGGCTCAGCCGCTCCGCAAAGATTTCGTCTGCTAGGCGGACACACTCAGTCATGCCTTGTCACCTGCATTGCTGTCGTCTCCGTACAAAGTGTCGACTCAAGTTCAATACAATAGTCTGGAGCTTGGAATCCCTGCAATTTGTGACGTCGCAAATTATTTTTGCTTCGATCGACTTTTTGCAAAACAGTGATTCCGAAATGGACGTCGTTCCAAGCAGCACTGCAGAGGTGCCGGAGGATGCACGCTTCAGCCATACTCGCTCGTGTGTCTCAGCTATATTGTTGTGTTTTGGCGTGCAAAACATTCAGGTAAACGCGGGGGGGTCAGTGCAATATAGCTATCACGAATGAGGATCAGCGAATAAATAGAATACGTTTCCTGCTTGCCAAGTTCTTTTTTGCGCCTCCAGACGGCCCCACCTATCCAGCCTCTCGCGGTTAACACGATAGTATTACCACTTATACGTGGACTCAAAAGTCTACAGATTAACTAAAATTCAACGATACCTGCGTGTTACTTGTTAGCAATGATATCGAAATATACGCTGTTCCACTTTTGATAGTTTGTAGTCGTGTTGATGTACAACACATACGTGATATAAAAAGACACCCTCATTGCACTTTTTCCGTGCTTCGCACTAGACGACTACAACTCACCTGCAACTCACGATTCCCCGACATGCCTCCGTAGCTCTTCTACGCTGTTTGACATCAAATTAAAATAACTTCCACGCAATGGATTTCGTTCAAATTTGGCCAAGAATACCTATGCATGCCAAGCGATTGAATGATGGGCACATCTTGATCTTGAAATTTGATGTCTGTGCTCCTTTAAGCTTGTTCGGAGGGTGCAGCACAAAGCAGGAAAGAGGTACACAGAAAAAATCCAGCAGATCCCATGCACTGTAGAAACCAATTTAACAGGAAGCAGTCACTAAGGAGCGGCATACACCAGATTGTTTGTGTATCAGGCAAATCAAGACATTAATGACATGTTCACTATCACACGTTCATCATGCATGCAGTGGTGCACAATCTCTTGTATACAATGGTGATGAAACATATTGTGGTATGCACGGCCAGCTATTTGTTCTTCATACAATCATGTCATGCCATACTAATTATCACATATATCAAGTTAATTAAATGGCCATGAGCTCACCAAGACAGTGTCATATCATGATGTACATTGCATGCATTTTATGATTTCATGTCACCAACTGCCATTTATGTTCATCATAGAATCATGTCATACCATACCACTTGAATTATAGTATACCGAGCTAGCAAAACGGCCGTAAGTGAACTATGAGCATGGCATGTAAATCAAGCGGCACGCGAAATGGGTGTCGCAATTTTCATGTTGCCACATGCCAATCATGTGGCTCAAAGTCGGGTCATGCCATACCACTTTTGGTGCATATTCATTCAATGAAACGAACACGAGGGCAGAAAGTCGTTGGTTTCTAGATAGATGCACACAAAGTGGCAGAAGTTCGCTAAAAAATGCTTCATATTTAAAAACAAGGATGAACACTGCATGGCAACTAAAGTTTTGTTGTTTGATACAGACATACAGGAAACAGAACAAACGTGTCTGTATTAAACGAAGCTTTAGCAGTGACTGCTTGACCTTATTTTCATGCACTTTAGTCCTGCTTCACAGTGCACTCCCTTGGCAATATGGAAAGCCAACTAATTCAAATCACTATCCTTTTTAATAAACCGTTATGCCAGGTAAGGAGAAAAAATTATGTGCTTTCTTGGGCAAATGTGGCTGAACAAGCACTTTTCCCAATTCAATATTAGCTAGGGACTAAGATTGAAGCTTGCCTAGAGTTGGAAGAATTTTACAAATTGCTGAAGGTAATGAATGTGAACATAAGCAATTGAGTTTTCAGCTCTTAAATAAAAAACACAGGTGCAGTAATTTGTTTTATAGACTAGCATCAGATAAGTTTAAAAACAATTAAAAGCTTGGTCGTCAGGTTCAAGGCAGAGATTCCAGGTATTTGAAGGCCATCAGGACTGATGCTAAGCAGTACCCTTCTTCTCCAAGCATGTACCTATAAGAAAAATCATTTCGTCTTAAATTACATTCAACAAAATTGGCTGCATTCATTAACTTGATTCCCTTCAAAGCCTTTTAAGTATAGAAACTATTACTGCAGTTATTAAAATGCATCTACAGATACCATTAGTGTGTCAAACATTTGCAGATTTTAATAAATGGCAGCAAAAGTTTACATACAATAATGTCTCAACTACTACTTTACTGTAAAGTCACTGTGAAAAGTCGTATCCACTTACATAAGTTTTGCCTGAAGCTAAAGCTGCTTTGAAATTCAAACACGTTGGTGTCAGGTTAGCATGAGAAAGCTTGCAGATTTTATAATATTCAGTAAACAGCAAAGCCTATATTTATTCTCTGTGGGCCTTGATAGAACTAATAAAGAAGAGTAGGATGACAATATGAAGTTGGCAATGTCACTGATATCAGTGATAGAACCAGGAAGGTTGTTCCAATCAGTATTGGTACATGGGATGAAGGAACTGGGGAAAACACTCAAGCTGCAAATTTGCACTCAAACCTTGAACCGATGGACAATGCATGACATTCCTTAGGTTCTGAACTGAAGTGTAATAAACCTAATTAAAAACACACACACTGTAACATGTGTCGGAAATCATGACAAGTTCATTTCATAGCTGAGACAATAGTGTGACAAGAATGATTGAATTTATAGATACCAATGGTCAGTCAGAACAATGAAGTAGATGTGAAGTGAAACGAAATTTAGCCAAAGGCAGCAGAATGTTAACCAGACAGATGAAATAAAGAAATTTTCAGACATGAAATTAACAGCTGGTGTGGTACAAAATTATATCATACAAGGGATCTTATCTGCCCACATTTCAAAACATTACAATTAATTTTCTATTCATTCTTTCTGCAACATAAAATGGCCAATCCGAGGAATAATGGTGCTATTTGAGCCCTGTCCGAGTCAATGACAAAGAGCAAAAACATTGGAAGATGATGTGAATTTGCACAAAATCAACATTGTGGTCAATATTTTCAATTATTTATGTATCACTTCATTTTTACTATTTTTGATCTTCTTCAATGGCTTGGATGCCACTGTTCTGCCACAAGTACTAGCTGCTTGTATGGTACATACGATAAAAAAAATCACATTGTTAAACAAATATGGCCCCTGCTTCCAGAACTATGAATACAGTTAATTCGTCATACATATTGTGGCCGCTGATGCAACATAACTTCAGTCGCTCATCAAGTGCGTATACCTTACCATGCCCAGACTGCCACGTTTCGCAACGCACAGTCGGGTTCACGCTAGCGGGCTTCTTGGCAGCGGTGTGGTGCTATCTAAGACGGACTGCCCGAAGTAGTTTTCACATGGCAGTAGAATGATATGTAGTATTGATAGACGGACTGGTAACAGCATACTAAAAATGTAATTTACCTCCTTGTTCAACAGTGTGCAATAGAATAAGCCCCTTGAGTGTTCTTAAGGTCACTTGTAAACACCGTGACTCGCTATCTGGCGAAACAGCACTTGGTGTTCCTAAAGCAACATTGTGATTTTTGCCTCATAATCAAATTACTGCTCTGGTATTTAAAAACCCAGATATGATTATATCCGACGAAACCTTATAATTTGTACTTTTAAGTTTCTGCTACAAAGCTAATGGGGGTAGTTGGTGTTCATGCAGCTTTGGTTAAACGAGTCTACCCAAATTCATTGCTGTAATCAATAAGCATACGTTGACAGAAACAACTCAAGCCAAAATATAGGCTTTGGTTCACTGAAATGACCTTCCAGATAAAAAAAATTATGAAGATCCAGCACACACATTGTAACCTATGAGAATATAAGCTTCAGTAAAGCACTTAATTAAACCATACACAACTAATTTTCATTCCGTGAAATGTGTGTTCTCATGCAAATGCTTATGGAATACACTATTAACAAGCTATGCTGCAATGCAAAGACTAATGCAGGTGAATGCTTAGTGTTTGATATTTATGCACAGATATCGCAAGGATGAAGGTGAAATATGACACTTGCTGAGCGAAGAATGGTGGTAAGGGGTGTTGGCTCAGGGAAATAAGACACATCATTATACATTCAAGGGCACCAGGTAGGCCCTATAGGCCAGCCTCTCGCACTCCGTCGGAGGTGCCACCGCTCTCAGAGTGCGCAGTGCCAATGTAGCAACTTAACGCATTTTGTTTCCTTCCCGGCGCGTAGCTTGAAGATGTGTGCGAAGAAAGCTGGTGCGTGACAATGGCCATGCATAACGAGCCCCACTTGCTGCTTAGTGCCTATGAACAAACAGCAAACATCCAGGAATACTTCAGACAAAGTACCGTAGTTTGCTTCGTGGTGGTGACTTGTACGCCGCCAATCCTTTATTGGGTGAAAGAACTCTACAGTGCCATAGGTGCAATGGATATTTTCGAAAAACAGGTCGCACGAATGAGTGTACAATGCGACCCGTGTTAGGAAGTTGGTAAACTGTTTTTTCTTAGCAGGTGGTAGAAAATACTTTTATCAGCAGCCTGGCACGTCACTTTTTCTATGATCGTCGCACATTTGCAGAAAGCTGGGATAGTGTAAATGATATATTAGCAGCGATAAAAGGACAGAGATAGCATGAAGCGCTCGCCTCTTTGTTTTCTAGCTCTGTTATTACATCCAACTAGAGCATCAACTTCTGCGCGGTGGCCGATTGTGTTACGGAACTCTCCTCGAAGTTTTATTTTTGATATGGCACAGATCTGGGCGCAAGCATTCAAGAGACTGGTTCCATTCTCTGGATTGCCTAAGAACACTTACGCCTGTGCAGGCATATACCAAGTGTGTGCCTTTATTCTGCTGGTTATCAGCGCAAGAAATAAAATTGTGCAAGCAGAAATCCTGTGAGATACAGGGTTTCACAGCCATTAAATCCAGCCCCTGCATGGCTAAATTTAATGGCTTGTGCAAAAACGACTAGGAGCTAGCACTGTATGTCAACCACAACCAACGCACCTCCTCTACTGACCTGAAGTGTGCTTAGCACAAGCCACCGACCAGTGCTTGACAGAAGAAAAAATTCCATCAGGCAACTGTGAGCGTCTGTTTACATCTTGCGAAAACATATTTCTCAATATGTGCAATTGTGTTTAGGTTGAACCATCATAAAGACTATCCTGAGGCTTCTCAGCCCAACAGATGTGCACAGCGAACAAATTTGGCACTGCAGATGACTGTTTTACATCGCACTGGTTGCCACCAATCTCCATTTGGGGTAACCATAATAAAATAAGCAATAAAACCAACCTGAAACCTGAAACAAGCATTACCTGAAACAGTAGCATAGTCAGAAATTTCTTTTCAGCGGGGGTTCAACCGTACTTTTTATGCACTTGTGCATGCCTTTGAATGTACACGTGTATATTACACACGCACAATTTAAGAAAATTGGGGGAGGGGGTGGATGAGTTGTGTGATGAATTTTGCCCTACCCTGTGCATTCAGCACATTTAGACACAATGGCACATCTAAACAAGCCAAGTGACACGGCTACTCAATTAAAATAGCTGTATGTCATAGAGGCACCTGTGAGCTTGCATGCTTACACATTTTGCGTCATTATTTATTCTTTTATAAGGCAGAGGAGAAGTGCACTCACTGAAACTACTCTGTCAGTCAATTTCAGTGCTTTTTTTCAGGTGACAGCCTTAGATGCCTCATCAAATGCAAAATTTTACCGTCAGTGTCACGCATCAGTGGCACCTCGTGTCCCGCGGTGTTGGGGATGAGTAATGCAAAAATAATCATCACATGATGTAATGTCAGGTGATAATATAAAACCCTCATCACTGAGCAAAGAACACTTCAAAGGGGTTGTGAACCACCGCTAGAAATTTGTGCCTATTCTATAAATAGCATAGTAAACACTACTATGAACAGCTCAGCCTAACTTTGAATAAAATGTGCACGATACATCGAGTTGTCAAGCAAAGCGCTAAGTTGCCACTTTCCCATGTGCCCTCTCTTCATACAGAGGCTTGCCCTCATTTTCTTCAAAGTGGCAGGCATCGGCTCCATTTCGATATTAAGCAGATTGTTGCTACTGGCCGACAGTTGACATGAATAAAGAGCAGTGTTTCAATCAGATGTGCTTCATGTCATTAAATTCTGACACACAGGGTTCATGCTCATTTACATGACAAAAATTCAAGGGTTTTCAAGGCTATGTGTGCGAATTTTCAAGGACCACATTGACTGTTAGAAACCATATTAACACGTGCTCAGGGGAGGTTAAAGGCTTGAAATGACCAGAACTCATTGAAAAATGGTAACATCACTAGAGAAGACATCAAAAACATGGCTCCAATGACGTTTTCTTTCTAGACAACTTTCAATCAATTTCGTAAAGTTGCATAGGTAATCACTAGGACACAAGTTGCAAACTTTTAGTCAGATAGGAAACACTAAGAAACAGTTGTTATGCAATGCCTTGTTGCTTTTTCTGAATTTTCATACCAATATTTACTATCTCGTGCTGCTTGGTTTTGCCAGTCTTCCTAAGGTTGTTTGACTTGATGATGCACATCAGGTCGCTAATTGTTTCTGCATATTCTACATACGAGCCTGCTGTAGCTGTTGATTCCTTAAAGAGACACTAAAGTCAAATAACAATTTACGTCAGAGTGCTCAATGTATGACAACATCTGAAATGACAATATTATCAACAATAGTTCCCTACTGGCCAATAAATTAAGGTAAATGCACAAGAACACATGCGCCGCAGTACATTCTCAAAATGATCCCAATGACATCAGACGAACTGCCTACAATGAACCACTAGTAATCGATCCAGCTGCACTAAATAAATAACCTTTCGTACATCAAAAGACACAATGAAATGCTGCTTGATAATTTCTGTTTGATTAATATAAAAATAGAACCACAGGACGTCACTAACGGGGAATGTAGCTGTTGATTCCTTAAAGAGAAACTAAAGTCAAATAACAATTTACGTCAGAGTGCTCAATGTATGACATCTAAAATGACAATATTATCAACAATAGTTCCCTACTGACCGAGAAATTAAGGTAAATGCACAAGACTACATGTGCTGCAGTAGGATATTCTCAAAATGATCCCAATGGTGTTACACGAGCCACCTACAATTAATCATTAGTAATCATCCTAGCTGCACTAAATAAAGAGCCTTCCGTGCACTAAGAGATACAATAAAATACTGCTTGTTCGTTTCTGTTAGATTCATAGCAAAAAGAACCCCCGAACGTTACTATAGAGAATGGCACGAGTGGTTCAAAAATTCAATTTTCGCATTGTTACAGTGGACAGGTTGTGCCATCTAATGTAGTACAGTTGAACCAAAACACGTCTTTCATCTCGGAGTCAATGGCAGAAAATTTATCAATGACCATTGTTGCTGCTGTGGCTCCCGCTGCTTTTGTTCCGTCTACTAGTATCGGTGATCGTGCAGTAAAGCCGGGCAACATTGTGCAAACAGAGACGTGAGTCGGTCAGCTTCTTGAGGCGGGTAATTCGAAGTACGCTAACCCAATGCGGGCCACTTTATTTCAAAATAAGCGCTTTCTTGGCACAAAACACTAAGAGGTGTCTAGACTGCTATTTCAACTATCAACGTTGACTTTATAGTTGCCTTTAGTGTCCCTTTAACAGCGGCTCCTAGTTTCTTTTACTTTTTTAAAAGCATTTCGACCTCCTCCTCAACGCAACATTTCTTTCTGTGTTTTTTATCCTCCTGCTCCAGTCTTTTTTAAGTTTTCAGAAATGCATGGTGTTGTTCTGTGCAGAAGCTACTGATGTTCTCGATTCTTTTGTGACGGGCACATTGCATATGCCACCTGCTACACTTACGGCATTATAAATAGTCAGCTGTAAAATGTGCGACAATACTTAATTTAAAAAAAAATAAAGGATTTTCAAGTAGTCAAGAAATTCCAGCACTTTCAAGGCCCCGAAAACAAACTTTTCAAATTCAAGGGTTTTCAAGGATTTCAAGGACCCGCATGAACCCTGACACAATAGCAACACTAGGGCGCACTAGGGTGAAGTACAATTCATGACATGCTGCTGATAAAGCTTCTAGCCCCTTCGTCACTCCTCCCAGTAGTTCTCAGTGCACTCCTTGGGACGAAAGAAGAGCAAAAACACCTAAAGCATGGAAGAAAGTAACTCCACTCATTCATAATGAGTTCAAAAAATTTTGACAAGGAATAAACATTGATAGTAAAGTCATTTGTTAATTAATATGAAAACCATTTAAGGGCCTCTATTAAAATATTCATGAAACTTAAGTGTGAGGCATCACATAGATAATAAACACCATAAAACAGATGTAGACACAGCAAAAAGACAACAGAAGGTACTGACACACTACACAGCCTGGACATGCAGCTTGCAAGTCCTATGTGCCACTTTTATGTACATACAGGGGCGTCCAATTCTACCTTGAACACCGCACCGCGCGGCCAGTGCTCCGCAAGGCACCTTATGTGGGTGCTTGAAGAACTAACGCACAAGCACAGTGACGGCTGTAGGTGGCGCCTTCAGCGCGATGGCTCCATCGAATTGCGCTTGCTTTGCCGTGGAGCTGACTTCGCTCTAAATATGCGCAAGCAACTTAGAATAATGCACGATTTACGATACACCCAGTGAGAACGCCTGGTGCTAGCTAGCTTTTGCTCCTGATGTTTTCTTTATATTCTGCATGTGATGTCACAAGTGATAAACCTTGGCCCTTGCATGGGTAAAATCTCGAAGGCCTGCTGGCGTTCCCACTACTAGACTATTTAGCTCTTTCGGTCTAATCAGAACATTCCCGTAACTGACAATTGTTTTCATGAGCTGATAGACTGTGTAATAAGGTCGAGAATAAAATAAACATAAGTTTGAATATGCTGCGAATTGAAGAAAATTTTCCATGCTGTACTACAATTTTGAGCCAAGAAAGGAAAAAAGCGATGTGGGGGCCTTAAGTCACGTAGCTATAAAAAAAGAATGAAGCTTGATTCAGTGCCTGCGAACAGAAGTTAAGATTTGACAAGGGTGGTTCTTCAGAGCACCGACTGCTAAAAACTATATTTGTACACTTTTTAATTTGCCTGCAAGAATGGTATGGAGAAGCTCGGTTGCAAATGTGTAAAAATTAGGGTGGAATGTTGGGGACATACAGGCTAGCGCATGAAGGCAACGGTGCTGGTAACACCCAAATAATATGCCACTACTCTGAAATGGGCAAAATGCCCACATCATTTTGTTTTCATGTCACTAACAAATAGAAACTTTTCAACATTCAAAGCTGTTACGTAGGACATTACCATGTATTCATCGCCAATTATTGGCATGCCTAACCTTTAGGCTGATCAAAAACAATCGCATGAGCAAGGGAACATTCTAGCAACTGGTAACTAAGCAGTGGCATAACACGGGGGTGGGGAATCGGGACCACATACTTCCTTCCCCCCCTTTTGATTTTTCTTTTGCTTGGCATTCTGAGTGCGAAATTGCTATCTGCTTGCTTGGCCCCCACTTTGGATCAAGATGGTGACATCCCCCTACCCCCGCAAAAAAAGATTTCTAGCTTTGCCCCTGCAAATAAGTAGCTTTGCTGTGGGAGATACAGGACAGTTTGGATATTTTATGCATGGGTGGGCTAAGGTTTATTACATGTGAAATCACATGCAGAAAAAAAAAATACACTAGGCATAAAAGTTCGGCAAGAGAAGGAGCTGTCGCTGCTACTCTCGAGTAGCGTGCCGCATTAGCGATTTGCATGGACATAGCAAGAGTGAAGTTACCTTCACAGCAAAGCAAGCACGATTCGGGGGAGCCGGCACGTTTAGCAGACAATGTGGCGAAGACCCCACCCATAGCCATCACTACACTTGCGCGTCAGTTTGGCAAGTGTCCACAAGAGGCGCTACGCGGAGCGCTGGCCACACAGGGAAGTGTTCAAGGTGGAAGCGGACATCTCTGTACACTTTCTTGTATTGTGTTCTTTTACAGGCTCCATTACAGAAACTAACCTGCAAGTGGCTCTTATATGTGCCATCGGGTAACATGACTGAAGAGAGGAAAAGGTGATCCCACATTCATAAGTTTGAGTCTAATCACAAGCTAGCAAAATTAAAGCAATGTTGGAACTCACCTAGAATCTAGTACTTGCTCAAGTGCAAGGTACTCTGAATACAGCTGTGGTATCTTTGATTGCACTAAGATATAACTCAATGCAGGAATGAGGTCGTCAGCTCCCCTACAAACAGAAAAATCCAATGAACTGTCATCATTATGGCAACCAGGGTACAGTCAAATAATTCAAAAAAGAGAAACTGTTTGAAACATTTTGAATCCAGTAAGTCAAGTAGCAACACTTTGGTCGCTTCATAAAAAGCAAGTCTTCGCTTAGCAAATGGGGCTAATCATTTACATAATGCCTTAAAAATTTCAATGCAGGCATAGTGAATGAGAATGCATTCATTTTTATTATGAGGATTAATGCAAGGTAATAAACAATAGGAGCAATGTGTCACCAACAAAATAATAAGGTACCAACCAGTTAGGTGTCGAACTATCCTCAGCTAGCAGGCTGCAATCATAAAATTTATTCTCCCACAAGGGCAGGAACAGTGAAAAAAGTTGGAATGGGGAGACTTGAACTGGTATAGCGCATTACGGGGAAGAAGAAACGGCCGAGCAGACCGACACAAGAGGACAGAGCGCTAACTTCCAACTGAGCTTTATTGTCAAATTGCATCAAATAAGTAGACCGGCGCAAGCATACAAAACCACCCTAACGCAACGACAAGATAACACACAACATGTGTGGAGAAGGGTGGACTACATGTCAGCTACTTTTGCCACTTGAAATATATCGCAATGGATTTCTCGAATGACTGAAGTGTGGACGACGATTCTGAAGTTTTTGATCCATGTACAGATCTAACACATGATGAGTGCATGGAGAGCGTCACTGAATAAATAAATAGTAAATAAATAAGCTTGAGACCAGCCGTAAGTGTGCAGCTCATAAAAAAATGTGCGACAAAGACTGTTATGTATGAGCCAGGCCACTAGCGAGAGGTCCACAGGCCACTTTGTAAATAAAAAAGACGTGCCAACCAATAAACTTTAAAAGAAAATTTTTGTGACACCACGATAAACAATCTTGAGATCAGCGTGATAGAGTGGTTATGTTCCAGAGTTCCACGACTGAGATGGTGGGTGCAATGTGGCTTTGTGGGTGAAGTTAAATATGGTTCTAGTGAAGCAAAACATTTTAAACTGAATTTGCCAATTTTATCCCCATGTTAGCACACTAATACATGGTTAAAACCACACCCAATACTAAATAATTGTGGTAATCTTAATCAAATGCCCTTGATGACACTCTCATGGGACATTACATAGCAAGAACTATTGAAATGGTGTAACACTTCTGCTACTCATATAGCAAATGCACTTCAAAACTACAAGAGATGAAACTTACGCTGATCTCTAACAGCAAAATGTGATGAAACAATTTTTTTTCACAGCAAAGGTGGTGCTTTACCAGTGCCCCTTCAAGCATGGCACTCATTTTTACGAGAAAGGCAGAGGGTTTCATTTAATGAATTGCTTCCTTGTTACATCCTTCATGTCTGCTTTGTTAATTTATATTGGTTTCACCGACCTATACACACCAAGACAAATTTCCCTACGAGTACTAAATCACAGAGTATAGCCCTGCTCAGAAAAAATTGCTTTCAACAAACTCACATGAGCTTCCTATGGTGATCGTCTTCGCTTGAAATAGCTTCTGTACAAACCAGCCGTGTGACATGAACTACAAAAACGATGGAAGGAAAAGAATCATCATTTAGAGACAGGAGCTATTTTGGGTACATGTGTGTGCACCAAAATCAGCTTTTACACAAAGCACACATAAAAGTGAGAACTTATGGCACAAGCCATAGCTATGCTTTGACTCAAACATTCCTTTATTGTTGAACTGAATTTGCACCTCACCTGCACTGACCATAGTAGTATGCTCAGAACATACTAGTTTAATATAACCTAAATTTCAAAATTGTTAGACATTTATTTGCTCAAAACATTTTAAGAATAATACTGAGACAGGGTTCAGTAAAAGTCTATTAAATGGGATGTCTATTTCAGCATGCACTGGTGAGTTAAAGAGCTTGGGGACAGAGTTGATCATCACTGGTGGCTTTCAAGCCTGCCCAATTTGCACACACTGAAATACATAGTCCACTAAATAAATACTTGCAGAATACCATCTCCAGATAACACATTGTAACAGGCATTATAAAAATATTATGCCAGAATTCTATATCAATGATAAAATGCTGTATTTAATAACTTTGAAGATGCTGATTAATATGAAAGATTTTAAGCGCTTCACCAGGAGCTTATCAAAATACTATATTTGTGTGAAATAGTAGTGCAGCACATGGCACTACAGAAGAATCTACTATACAAAAGATAATGAGGATTCACTCAGAAAAAGCACGCACAAACCTTTGAAAGTTATCAGCTTACACATAAGAAATCTATAAATATATGTACATGGCATTTTTTAGACAACACAGATTAAAAATAAAATTTAGACGATTCTGTGATTTTCACACATGAACTCTAGGTTGAGGTGGAAACACTCTGCTGCAACGACATTGAGATGAATAACTAACAACTAATTATTGACCAGATTTTTACATTACGATGTTGTGGTACATCCAATTTTAATGGCACATCTATTTTTCCAGATATCACACAAGTTTCATGTAGCTTGAGATATTCATCATATTTCAAGGGCGAAATCACAACCGGTACACACAAATCGCACCTGGTATGTACCTACTGTTGTGAGCAACGCCAGAGCTGACGAGGGAGCGGCGCTCTTTTAATCCTCAAACAAGTAGCCAACCGGCTGGCTGTCTATACCCGCCAGGTATTGTCCCTCCTAGCCGGAGGATGAGACGTCGTGTCGCCACGACGCTGTAAGCCATTCGAGAGAGGACAACAAATACAGCAACTTCCCTAGAAGAGACCGCGGCGGCTGCCGCGAATCGCCCCGCGGCGGCTGCCGCGAATCGCCCCGCTAATTAAGCGAACAGATCGGCGGACCCTTTGATGTATGCTGTCATGAGCTTGGGACCCCTCGACCAGCGGTACACACACGACCAGGAAGAGCCCCGCTGGCGCCACCTTGGAGTGCAGTGATCACGCCTCAATATTGGACGTTCACGTGGGCCGTGCATGCTCGTCCCCCTCGTCCATTGTGTGTGATCTGTGATTGGACAGTACCATCTGCACATGTTTCCTGATCCTGAGAACATACCCTTTATAATAAGCCACCTGGCTCATTGGAAGGAGCGCCATGTAGAGCAATGCCAGATTTGAAAGCTCAACATGTAAGAAAGAGCTCGTCAAGTACGAGAGCTCACCATGTATATAATGTAAATAAACCTTCTTCAAGTCTCTCTTCCTCCTGCCTCGACAACTTTATCCCGTACCTCCGGTGCCTGCAAAACCCGGTCATAACAACTGGTGATTAGCGGTGGGATACGAAGCTACAAGTGACAACAACAGTCGGCCCAGGAAAAGCAGCTGGCTCGAGACATGGATCACGTATGGGTGAGTGCTTGGCTTTTCCTTTGAGTGAACCAGGTTCTAAAAGAAGGTAAATTTTAGAACTGGTAGTTAACTTTGCCGAAAGACTCAGTGTCGCCGTTTCGGGAAGTTATTTTTGGAAGTAGCGTGCACTCAGTACGATCATGGACTTACGGGAGCTACAGAAGTCAGATTTGTTGCGGTTGTGTGATAAATCGGGAATCGATACAAGGGGTTTGGCACGAAAACCTATAATCATACAAGCGAATAATGATTTGGTGTCTGATAATGAGGAACTAAGTGAAGAATGGGACCTCATCATTGAAAGAAAGTTAAGAGCAGCTCAGATGGAACGAAAGGGAGATGACGAAAAAGAAGAGCTCAAGATGAAGTTTTTCGAACAAGATATGGAGTTGAGTAACTGGTTGGGACCCCAGCGAGGAGTAATTCTTCTCAACAAGAAGGCAGAGTTCGAGATGTCTAGGTACATGCAGCCATATGAGGTATCATGGGATATGGGCCTGTATCTTAGACTCTTTGAGCGAAAGTGTAGGCAACTGTCGTGTGAGCGAGACACCTGGTCTCAGAAGCTACTCACGGTTCTGCCCTGCAAGGCAGCCGATGCTGTTGCGCGACTCAGTGAGCAGCACGCGAACAACCACAAAGTTGTTAAAGCAGAGCTAATCAGAAGATTTGGAACTTCTGTTAGCAAAAATAAAAAAAGACTCAGACCAGAGTCTGAAAGTGAGGCGCGTCGCAAAGCGCCAGATGTTGACTTGCGTCATGAAGCGCTTGAACCAGAGATCGCGCCAGTAACAGGCCCGCGTATTCTAGAATCCATCAAGATAGAGTATGCCGAGAACGAGGCCGTTGCTAGTCTGGCAGTAGGGACGATCTCAAAAGACTCTCCTTCTGTGCATGAGGAAAGTGCCAGCAGCCCTAATGGGCCCAGTAAGGAGCTGGAAACCTTCTTCGTGCCTCAAGAGGAGGTTTTGACATCGTCAAATGTAGGCATGGATAGCGCAGTGGCCGATGAGAGCAAGAACACCACACTTCAGTAGTGCAGCGATACCATCGAGATGGTTCGCAAATATCGCAGAAAAGGGAAGAAGAAGCGGAAGCGCTCGGCACTGCGTAAGCCTATGACAGGTCCCACCTTGTCGCGAGAAAGGCGTAGGGCTAGGCCATTAGTCCGTTTCAAGAAACGTCAGTGGTGGCATTCATGGAGGCACAAGCGGCGAGCCAGGTGTAGAGGGGGGAAACGAGGGGCATCACCCCAACGAAACGCGCAGTTCAGTTCATTAACTTTGGGGAAGTGATCTTGTTCGAAGGGTCAAGGTCGAAAGAACATAATGACTAAATACCGCGTCGGGGCGAACACAAAGCCACAATTGCCCAGACTTCCTCCCTGTTTCTGGCGTCCCTTGCACATTCCTGAGGGAAGCCGGCCGAAATGCAGAATGAGATGTGACAGGACACAGCCTAGCGTTCGTGCGTTTTGTAACCTTTGGCGTGCTCAAAAACTGCCAGGACCACGACCCCATTGTGTGCGATTCAAGCGCATCTAGTTGAGAAAAGGGGGCGGTCAGTTTGAACAATTGTTTCCCATGCGTGTTAAGTATGGTTACTAAGTGTTGCTTTGTAGATGCATATTTCAGCCATTTTTTGTAAGTTACATGACGCGGTTTAGAGTTTTCAGAAGAAAAACCGCCGAATAAAGGCCGAAAATCAAAGTGATTTAATCATTCGTACGAATATACCGAGAAGGTAAAAACTGAACAAAATGTTTCATTTTTCTAGTGTTTTATAGGTTTAGTGTAATGTCGTATGCCTTCACTGTCATGTGGATGTGGCGTGAATGAGCATTTTAAGGAGGAAGATGTTAACATAGACCAAGTGATTTCGTAAAATGATTAAGATTGGTGCAACACGGTAGGGTTGTTGTTACGCGCTATGAGTATTGAGAATCATCTAATGCACAGTTTTAGCATAAACCTATGCAGTTGTTGTCAGGTGCTTTTGAGGTGTTTTTACATAGGGTTATTTTTGTGTTGTACACGGTGTGTTACAACGTAACGTAAGAATGTTAGACAAACTGTGAAAGATTAAGCATTTTGGTTAGTAGTGCCATGTATTTTGCAGCGATGTAGGAATGATATTGATTGAAAACACTCCGGAGAGCTCAGTGGTTTATTTTTTAAATCAAAGGCGTTGGCATAGGCAGGTAACTTTAACCCACTGAACCTGCTAGAAAACAGCGTTTCTCTCCTATGTTTTGTTGTTGTTTTCTTTGAAGAATGATTCATCGAGTGATCATATGAGCGGATCATTGAGCTTTCCCAAAACATTAAAGCAGACCGTTAGGTCACAGCATAGGTTAAGGTATTGGAAGGCTGGCGAGCCTAATTATTCAGCAGTAGATGGTTATTGGCAGCCGTAGACAAAGACAGATGTTAGGACAATTGTAGCGCTCGCTGAATCAGAGTTTGTTCAGTGTTCGCGTACTTGACTGATGCTCTCATTGGGACAGAACCGATGAAAGTGGTCAGTGGTTAAAAGGAGCAGGCAGCCTTCTTAAAAGCAAAGATACAATACTGATCATTGTCCAGTTTTGAGAGCTGCTATTTACGACCGAGAATGCACGGTCCGGTGTAATGCGAGAGATCGAGGCCTAGGAGCCGTTCTATGTCAGGACGACAGTGGTAATAAGCAAAGCTGCGCTTTACTTGAGCCAGAAATTGGGCTCTCGGGAGATAACGTACTGCGCTTCAGGATAGGAGTGTGCTTGCATTGTGTAGGCCATTCATCAGTTGCAGTGTTATCTCAGAGGGGCTAAATTTAATGTAGAGACAGACTATTGTCCCCTTACTTGGCTGCAAACCGTGACATCAAAGAACAGTAGCCTTGTGAGGTGATGCTTGATTTTTCAAAAATATCATTTTGACATTATGTATAAGAAGGGCAAATTGAACGGAAATTCTGATGCACTCAGTCGATCTTCCTAAGCTATCTAGGGGTGCTCTTGATGTATCAAAATTAATATTTTAGTTTTTTTTTTCGTGCATCTTATTAGGTGCAATGTGTAAGGTAGCAAGTCTGGTTTCTCAGTGTGAGTCCTGAGAGTTCTGAGTATGAGCTTTTTGTTAAAGCTAGTAATGAAAATTAGTTTGCCATCCCTCTTTTGCCTTGCTTTGTTTGAAGGGGTCTGAGTGCTTGCTTATGCATGTGGTTGAGTTTCAGAGACGCTGTCCAAGTTTTCGGCAATTACCCAGACCATGCGACAAGCGAAGGTGAGTTCCTGGCATTCAACTATGGACCCTTTCGTCGCCACTTCGTGCAGCAGCGGTGACTGCTACCCTCCGTGACTCATCTGGCGAGGGGAAAGCTGTTGTGACCGACGCCAGAGCTGACAAGGGATTGGCACTCTTTTAATCCTCAGACAAGTAGCCGACCGGCCGGCTGCCTATGCCTGCCAGGTATTGTCCCTCCTAGCCAGAGGGTGAGACGTCGTGTCACAACGACGCCGTAAGCCATTCGAGAGAGGACAACAAATACAGCAACTTCCCTGGAAGAGACCGCGGTGGCTGCCACGAATAGCCCCGCTAATTAAGCGAACAGATCGGCGGCCCCTATGATGTATGCTGTCGTGAGCTCGGGACCCCTCGACCAGCGGCACGCACATGAGGAGGAAGAGCCCCGCTGGCGCCACCTTGGAGTGCAGTGATCACGCCTCAATATTGGATGTTCACGTGGGCCGTGCATGCTCGTCCCCCTCGTCCATTATGTGTGATCTGTGATTGGACAGTACCATCTGCACATGTTCCCTGATCAGGGATCTGGGGAGAACATACCCTTTATAATAAGCCACCCGGCTCATTGGAAGGAGCGCCATGTAGAGCAACGCCAGATTCGAAAGCTCAACATGTAAGAAAGAGCTCGTCAAGTACGAGAGCTCACCATGTATATAATGTAAATAAACCTTCTTCAAGTCTCTCTTTCTCCTGCCTCGACAACTTCATCCCGGACCTCCGGTGCCTGCAAACCCCGGTCCAAACAGTACTGATCACAGCCGGCATGCACAAAGCATGACGGAACACCAAATGACATTTGAGGGTAAGTGACAAAACGAATGAAGGCATCCTAAAGCAGAATCTGGTCAGAAAAATAATCATTCTGAAATACATGGGAAGACAGCTTAATGTTTGCATGCTATGAGGGCTGTCTATATGTTTCTTTAAGATTATAAAGAAGCACAAAAACTATTTTGCCAGTCTGCAAGAGGGAGGACTTCAGTGGCTGCCCTCAAGTTTTATGCCTACCAGAAAAAAAAAATTTATATTATGATTTTTTGTGTGCAGTTCGAAAGAAACAAATAAGCATCAAACACTGTGTGCAAAAGTAAGGTGACAGGCGGGCAAAAGTGAGATAACTTACAGCATTTCATAAAACCATATGCCCCTGATGCGCCGTCAATCAAATTTCATCACTCCCACATAATAGGTAGTTTAGGTCTGACGCAGCAGAACGATGGTGCTTCGTGGCAGCCTTGCGCAGTCAGTTTCAATTTTTCCTTTGAAATTCGATAATGAATATCTTAAACTACGTGCAACATTAGTGATTTCTAAGAAATAGGTAAACAATAAATTGGCACACACTACAACTTTGTAATATAAACCTGCCCTCCAGTCAATTTTTAAATATTGAATAAGGACGTTTTTGTTAATTATTCACAACAGCATGATTTTAACCAAGGCAAATCATTTTCATCTCGGCATAGAGTTCATGTGCTAAAACAACAGGAACCTCACCGTCATTGGAGTTTAAAAAAAAATTGTCCTTTACATATTAGTGTGTTCTCCGCATTATTACAGGTCATACTGAAGGAGTGAAAAAGGCCGGAAATAATTCTGCATCTGTCATATTTGGTCACTGATTACAACAGTGCTATGCCTACATGATTAACTGCGATCGAGTGGACGTTAGAGGTCGACAGTATGAAGGAAACAGAATTGAGCATTATGAACTCTCGTGGTAGAAGGCATAAACAATAAAAACACAGGGACCCAGAAGAATAAACCAATGACAGAAGTGCTGTCTCACAACTGAAATTTTAACTGAAGCATTGCTCACTATAGGCACAGATCATACTACTCAGAAAAACAACAACAACAAGCAATACCACATCAGAAAATTAACCTGTCACATTTGGGGCAGTCAATGAAAAGCTCTTTGCACAAAATAATGAAAGATTAAGCATCATGTAAAATCAATTAAGCATTTTTGGCTGATTTGTGGGCTGTCATGTTTCCCGATGAAGAGGGCCAAAGTTCATGAGTTCATTGGTCGCCGCTCTCATACAATATATATTGGAGTTCCAACTTGACATGCCGCCAGCACTCCTGCTTTGTGCAAACTACCTACAAGTTGAGACTGCTGTTCTTTAAAAATGCACAGTGCTCTCCCAACCTTGCATTGATACATATTCCTGCTTGACTTATGTACACCTGATTGTACGATAAAGAAATAATGTACAGGTTGGTCCACTTTTAGAGAGAGAGAACACGCGAGGGCGTGTCTCGCTCTGCACAGCGGCATGCATAGCGAGCTGTGAAAACCAAGTGCATTCATAGAATCGTGCAGTGCTGGCACTGCCACACATCGTCTGCTACTGAAACGCCCCTTCATTCAAGAGTGGCCGCGCTGACATGGCCCTGCCGAGCACTTGCAGCTCTAAAAGTTAGCAAAAAATTTGAGTGAATTCCTACTTATGAATCTTGCACTCAAAGATAATGTTTGCTCGTGTTGAAACTTGATGGTGGCAACAGGAGCAGAAACAGCGCAAAACATTTGATGGAATACAAGAAGAAAAAAGGACAACAACAGCACCGTTTTTTCTGTATAGCACTGCTGTCGTCCCTTCTTCGTCTTGTGCTCCGCGAATTTTTTTTCACCCTTTCTTCCCCTGAAGAATCAGTGCTGCGTAATGAAGATTTCGAGCGCTAAAAATCCCACTCGGCAATCATCCCAGGAAAGAAAGAGTACGAGGAAGGAAAAAAAAAGAATTACTCGTAGGTTCACACTGAACAACTTAGCAAAAAGATATCAATGCAATGAATTAAGTTTCATCCTAAACAGGTGCTATAATGTGATCATCTACTGCGAAACTTGCGAACATGTCGAGAGCAGACACAAACTTCAGACAATATTACACAGGAAAGAAAGCACAGATAATAGTAACATATATTGGCCCTGCAAATTTTGGCCTCAGTCTTCAGAATAGTACCAATAGCATAGTGCCTAGCTTTTCTCTACAAAAAAAAGCATTAGAATGCTTACCCAATACACGTAGTTTGTGACTAGGGCCAAGTCGAGGTACAGTGCGCAGCATGCCCACCGCCTCTCTGAGGGCAGGGCTCTCCTGCAGACTAGGTGAGACGTGCATCTCCTCTGCCGAAACTGAAGCCAACTGGCTCATGGTTGTTGCCACACGCTGCTCCCCTGAAAGGTTTTCTAACCTGTAAGAATGCATCTTTGCTCAGTGGCACAGCCCTGAATATAAATATAAATCTAATGACTCTAATTTTAGAAATTGTGAGAGAGAAGCTAACAAAAAAGCAAAAGTAAAGCGTGGCAACAAAACAGCATAATTTGACTGCCACAGAGCATGCAGTGAAAATTGGAAGTTTTTTAATATGCATACACAAAAGACGATGTGTAACCAAAGGTACCTAAGCATATACAAAGCCCCGTGACCTGCTTGTATTCTTTTCTACACTGGTTTGCATTCTCTTGTATGGCCAACTGTTTATGTCCCTTTACTTTGGGTGTGCAAGACCTAAAACATTCAAATGAATGGAAATTTCTAATTAATATTCATGTGCTCTTCTCAGAGGAGCAGCTAGGTTCTCCAGAAAGAATGCATTAGAAGCATTAGTGCTTCATTTCCATGAGAGTGTTCCCTGCTGTAAACACGTAGGTCACCAGAAAAAGGAGACTGGCCTTCAGCATTGAAATGGGACAAGGCAGGAAAGCAATGTCCGTAGCAAGAGTTCATCAAAGCAATGGGGCAAAGTCATTGCCTGAGAAAATCATCGCACCATGGCTTCCCCAAATTTCATTTAAAGGGAGTGCAGAATGGCTGGTAAAATAATGAACAAAATATACATGGGGTGGTCTATTTTCAAGAGGTAAACGAATGTCAAAATAAGATATATGCAGTGTGGGCAACAAAGATTTACGTGAAGTGGCGAGCCTGGAAAATCGGGAAGTGTACAATGTTGTTAAGTGCTGTGAAAGTATGTGAGCAGAAAAACATTTTTTTTTATTTACAGTTAGAAGGACCAAAATTAAATTAACATGTAAGAGTGTGACAAAGCAAGACAAGTGTAACAATTATTAAATGGCTTCAGTGATAAATAGTATAAACTGCAACTACATCACCAGCTATCACTTTTGTGATTAAAAAATAGTGTCCTAGATAACTACAACTATGCTTGAAACAATGCACTGTCATATATTTCCCCCCCCTCACCCGCGAGTGCAAGAAAAATATAAAACCCACCTTTTTGGTTACCTTCTGTTATTGTGAGGTGTGCTTGTTCAGTTGCAGAAGATGGTTAGGTTAATTAACATAATAACAGGCCTCAGACAAAAGGCGTACTAATATGTCATTGTGCAGAAGTGCACTATGACAATGCAACTTTTTTCTATAACACACTGTATTTTTAATTACCCAACTTCAATCGATTTTAGTCCTAAAATAAAGAAATCAAAGATCAAGAAAAGGAAGTTTGCTTACTTATAAGATATAAACCACGAAAAAACTTGTAGAGCAGTGCCCACCCACAAGCCACTGCACTGTCAGGAGGGGCTCAGTAATGGACCGCAAAATGTTGGACACAGGCACACTTGAAGTACTTTTAAACTATCTCACTAATCCGCCACAGTAATGCATAGTGTAAGGCCCCACCTAACAATGGCCAAAAGGTGTGGCCATAGCGGCCAGGTGAAGTGGTCCTCCAGCACACTGTAGCATACTTCTTGAGCAGCAGGGTCCTTCAGAGGCTCAAGTGTCAAACCAAGGAGTAGCAAAGCAGTCCGCAGAACACTTTCAACATGGGCACAGGCTACAGATCGTTGAATGCCACTACTTGAGAATTCTTTAGGGGCAGCCACCATATGGCTCCTGCTCTCCAGAGCCATGACGATTTCTCGCTGCAATGCAACACGCTCTTTCGCCAGCCATTGGCTTAGTGGATGTTTGGAGTCCCTGCGAATTAAAATCTAGGTTGATATTAAAATGATATGCATTGAAATGAGGCATGCACTGCAATGGCTGTTGTGCTAACCTGGTTCGTTTGTATGACAATACAGTAGACTCTCGTTAAATGGAACCTGAAGGTACCAGGAAAATGTGTTTAATTTAACAGGAGTAATGTTTACCAAGAGATGAATAGGGGTGCAGAATACAAGTACTAAATCAATCATATCAGAGACAGTTATTCCATTTAAACAGCAGTTCTGTTTAACAGATTTCTGTTTACTGAGAGTCTACTGTATAATACCCCCTTCATTGGTGGAGGCTACGTTTGTGTACGTAACTTGTTTATGTTAGTTGTCTCAACTTGTGGCCAGAAGAGATATATTGCTCATTGGACGATTTAAACATTCTGCATAGTGAATATGATTTGACTTAAAGGAACACTACAGAAAAAAAAACATTTTTTATGTATTAGTACAGTACAATTCAGAATCCCGAAAACACTCTTACTGCGAGACGATGCTGGGTAAGTGATAAAACGTGTGAAAAGAACATGCCGGTGGAGACTCTGCATTGAGATTCTCGCACTAAACACCGCGACCTCATAGATTTTAAAGGGCACCTACTGGGTCCTACGTAGCTTCTAATCGATAAAAATGAAATACTGTACTACATTGTCACAATTACAGAAAATTTCGTCAAGCCGATGACACGAGATCTCCAAAAATACATTTAGAAATTTTTGACGTCGCATGCGGAGATTTCAACGTGAAGTTTAAAAATGAAATTTCAACCTCGATTTTCTTTGCTTACAATGTTCTATGCTTGAAATGAGCTTACGAAAAACTTACAGCATTGCAGATTTCAAAGTGCAGTTCATCAATCTAAACCAAATCACTGTTTCTCTTTCGTGTCCCTTTAACCTCAGCTTGCCGCATATGATCCCTTCGATGAAGAAACTACACTGTTTGACATGTCGTTTGACGTGCCGTGTTCCAGAACCACCTTCAAAAGTATTCCTTCTTTTTTTTTGAAAATGAATGCAACTAAAAACTAATAGCGCACATGTTCAGAGCTCATGTTATTTCGGAGCTCATGCTTTTTTCGATTCAGAGCTCACGCAAGTTAGAGTTGTGCAAATAGCAAAATTTTGGGTGTAAAGCGAATTCGAATATTCCAGTTTGAGTGTGAATTAAATAGAATACTTTTAGAATATTTCACAAATATTTCTGGAATATTTTTGAATATTTTTTAATACTTCAAAGCAAAATTGTAGAAAAAAAAAGGGTGGGGAAAATTCTTAAGCATTCTCTCACAAGATAGCAACATGAAAGTGTTTCTATTAAATAGGTTCATGAAGTGCTGGCCGGGTGGTGTTTCATAGTTCTCTTGTCAAAAATGAGGCAATGTAGAAGCTAAATCGTGTTTATGTGCATGATTTGGTGCAAGAAAAATTTCCTCCGCCTCTCCTCCTCTTTCACCTTTTGTAGAAGCCCAACTGATGTGGTGCACAAGGGTGTGCTCCCTTAAAGTCTGGAGCTCCAAATCTGTCTTGTGGGAAGTTTGAATAGTTCGAATGGTAAAATTCCAGTGAAAATTTAATTGAATAGCAAACACTATTACAGGATTATTAGAAATTTTGAATATTTGCACACCCCCAGTTAAAGTGAAACATTATAGACTGCACAATTATTAGGAACTTAACTATATGACAAATATAATTAATTGCTAGAGCCCATGCAAAACAATATATTACTTCATTTTCTTTCTTGTAATGTAATATTGAGTGCTTTGGAGTTGTTTCATGTGAATTTGACACATTCGTAGAAAGTGCAACGTAATTTTGCACCTAAAGGGGATATGGCAAACAGTGTAAAAACAGGACAAAGAATGGTTAAGCAGTCTTTGCAAGGGTTAACTTTCTTTTGGGATCTAATGCAAAGGGGTGGAAGACAAAGGTCAGGAGAAGAATAGCTCAATGAGCAATCACACAGGTGTCCCTATTACTTGAGAAATTTAAAATTTTGGGGTACACAAGGAGGGGCACTGTAATTAAGTAAATAAATATATGTTATTTATTTCTGTGACAATAACGAATAACATTTATAAACAAGAGAGAGATAAATGATATAGAAACATTTTACTACACTTACCCAAGGATCTGCATCACAATATGTCTAGCGACTTTTGAATCCTTTGGGTGTGGTTTTAGCAGGTCTTGAAGAGCTGGCGGCCACTCCTGGTATGAAGAAGCGAGTTTGGGAAAGTTAGTGAGCCTGCCAGGTGTTTCTTCAAACTCAAAAATACAAAAGAAAACTTAAAGCGGCCCTGCAACACCTTCTCAAGCTATCTGATATTGTGGATAAGTGGTTACGGTGCTCCGCTGCTGACCTGGAAGTCACGAATTCAAGCCTGGCTGTGGCTGTCACATTTTGGTGGAGGTGAAATGGTAGAGTTTCATGTACTCTGTGATGTAAGTGCACTTTAACGAACACCAGATGGCCAAAATTTCCAAAGCCCTTCACTACGGCATTCCTTATAACCATAACATGATTATGAGACGTAAAAACTTAAATGATATTATTATAATAATTATTAGTATTATTATTAGCTGTTAAAGTAATCATATAACATATCACCATGCACTACAGCTTTAAACATTTTCTCTGCTTCCCCCTTACACGAATGTGCTACCCCTAGTTCAGATTCAGATGTCCACAACACTAGCACGTGGCGGCACCGTGCAGGGGCCAAGGTTTCTACATGTGAAGCGCAGCCTCCAAAATCGTCTTCAGTAGACCGTCCATGCAAGTGGCCAATACCTGCTCGCTCAATTGCTGCATAGTTGTTGAGAACAGTGCAAAAGAGATAGCACACAATTTTTAATTGTGTTTTAAATGAAAATCTACGTTCTCTGCTGAGTGCAGTGCACTAATACATAACTCTTATTCTCACAGGAGCCTTGACTGCAGATCAGCCAAATTTTTCCAACATACTTAAAGGAGTGTTGCAGTCTCTCTTTAAAATTCTTATGATGTTTTCATACAATGAACCCTTACTTTCTTCATTTTTGCTTCTGTTAAATATAATGCACAGGGACACCCCTGGCTCTGCTAATGGTAGCTGAATGGCTACCTGCATAATACTGTAAATATAGCATGAAGTCCAGTGAGCTACTATACAGTCATTAATATCATTCACAATTTTGATTCTGAGACAGCAGTACATTTGGTTGAGGGCACCACTCTTTCCTTTCAATGTCACGACAGCATTCACAAGCAATGAGAGAGATTACAAAAGCAAGATAGCATCTTGCACCCTCTTCCATGCTTTATAACATGTGGTAACTGACGCTGTGTACTAAGCAGCTTAAGGAAATAAAAAATTCTGATGTTTTTTTCCAGCAATTTATTTTCTACCTGTATCTTGACAAATAACTCGGCATCAGAAACGTGCCAGAAAGTAGATACAAAGCAGCAATTGCAACCAACATGTGGGTCATGGCCTTTGTCAACCAGAATTATCATTATCTTTCTGCTTTCTTTATTGTTCTTGTGTCTTTACTGCACTTCTTAAACAAGTTCGGCCAGTATTAGCCATTAACCCTCACAGCCAGAGAGCTAAAGATAAGGTTGGTTTGCGAATACAGGCTTTTATTTAAGCTTAATATTTTTAATATTCCTTTTTAGAAATAGTGCGCTATACTAAATTTGTGCATTCAATGAATCTAATGCAATCATGGTAAAACCAATGAATGAAATCATGACGATTTCAGGATTGAAAGTTTTTTCACCGACACTCCGAACCACACATACGAGCTGCCGATCACACAACTCAATCAGACGGATGGAGACAACTGTTAACGAAATGTTTTCTAATATCATCAAACAATTTAGTATTTGCCCTATTAACCAATACCCTACATAAAAACCAAACATGAAAAAAGAAAGAACCTCGTGAAATAAATATAAAAAGAGACAGACAGAAATTATCTGTGATACTAGCATCCCTGTAGCAGAATCATGAAGTATAATTTTACTTGCTCTGCAGCATTCACTGCCATTTTTCACACCATTTACAGATTCTTGCAAGTATGTCCTGTAAACAACTAACTAGCCACTTTTGAAGATTGGAATGAGACAAAATGTCTATATTAGCCAATCATACTACAAGAATATATGTATACATTACTCGTACAATTTGTAGGAAATGTCAATATTCAAAAAGTACAAACCTATAATTACATGGCGGCACCGCTCTATAATTTCTATAAAACTGCAGCTAGTATGAACATCTTCCAGGAATTTAGTCACATAAAGTAAATCAAAACTAAAGTAAGCTGATAAGAGTGGAAATAAAATATAAGAGTACATAAGAAATCATAGTTATGAAATGAGCAAGAAAAGCTGTCACAGATTTATAATGTTTTTATATTGCATAAACCATACACCTGCAGTACACAATCGCTAAATTAAGAACATTGCATGCATGGTAACACACATATTGAATAAATTATAGAGCAAAAGATACATAAAAATGGATATCAGAGCTAAAAAAAAGCTTTCCACTTACACGGTTGTTTTCATACTGCAGAATTCTGGCAAAAAGCTCCTGCTGCCGCTTCTCTTCAGGCGTAATGCACTCCCCAGAGCCCTGCAATTTCCTGAACCAGCACACTGCAGTCACAAAGCCTGCCAATAGCTCACAGAATCCAAAAGTAAATTGGCACCCTACCTTGCTGCCATTTCAGCAATTTTCTTTTCTTGTTCTTGAAGGTCTCTCAGGTACTACCAAAACAAAACAGGAGTCAATGCTCACTCTGTACAAGCTCTCATCGCACATTCGCAAATACAGCACATATGCTCCTAGCTGCCCTGGCTTTCTGGGCCAAGCTCTTGACCCCCACTAGAAAAAGAGCAACAGTAGAAGACCACAGAAACTGATACAGCCATGGTTTATCAGAGGGTGCTCTCTATCTTTATTATTGTTTTTTTATTGACGCAACCAACAGCTGAAAGGAAAAGGCAGAAGATAGTGTCACTTGGGCAACTGACCCTTGAGAAAGAACACGCTGTCCAACTCTGCAAACAAATCTGGTAATAAAACATATCTATGACTTTAATGACGTCAATGAATTTGCTTGATATATTTTTTGTCATTTCTTGCTACAAAAAAAAAAAATGCACCCAAGCCACAGGGCTTCAAGCAGCAATGTATAAACTAAACACAGTCACTGTGCTCACCTCTGCCTGTTTCTTCCTGCCAGCCATCAGGTTATCCGTTAGTCTGCGCTGAAGTTCAAGGCGCTAGAAAGTATAAGGGGAATATTTGAGGTTATGTTTGAGAATCTGAAATACTACTATCTCATATTCCATGTTTAAGGAATGCTCAAGACTTGGTTTCTGAAAAGAACTGTATGCCCTTGATGCTGAGAGGGCCATCATAAATATCTGATCACAGGCACCATTGAATAATTCATTGCATGGCTAATAGGCAAACCAATGCTAAATGAACAGCAGATGCAAAGAAACACACTTCTCTCATTAGTCTTTATCTGTGTTCTCATGTATCCTCCATACGCCAAAACCACATGCACAAAAAGGAGAGGATAGAGTGCATAAACCACTAGGGGCCACTTGAACTGCTGTAAATATTATCTATGCATGCCCAGCAGTAGCTAAAGGCAAGAGTTTGATGCCATACATTTGTTTGAAAAATATACCCTTGGTGTGACATGAAACTGCATTCTTGCAAATTCCATCCATTTTCGCTTTTGTAAAATAGGAATGAATCTGAGCATTGTTATACAAATGACTATACACAGCCTGGTTATCAGTGACCAGGACATAATAATTATATGTGAATTAAGCCCTTTTTGCTTGGTGAGAAACTCCCACTAGGCCAAGGAGCTGCTCGTTCTGTAATTCAGGCATGAATTATTGTGGACATACTTTGATTATGCCTGCCTAAGCTTTACCTCAACTACAAGTTATCGATTTAAGGTTTTGAGGCTACTTGATGCACCTGCTTACGTATCCAATGTATTCATGCCATTCAAATATTAATTGAGACGTGTGTTGAAGGGACTGACAACTGGCCAGAATGTGCGATTAGATCCTGGTAGAAATGAAAAGACGATAAAATATGATGACAAATTCCAGAATCATTTTCGCTTAATGAGTAGAATTTCTATTTTTAAATAGTGTTTAAATGTAACAAAAAAACCAGTATACCACACAACATAGCTAAAGAGACTTGAAGCTGAATTGTGGAGTCCAATCACACTTTGCTGCATGCAGTCACTTGGCACAGCAAACTTAATCCTCAAAATTAGAATGTGCATATTATAACCAGCCCAATTCAATTATGTGCTGCTTACTAAGTAAAGGAGTTGCATGGTGAGAGGTGGCACTGTCCTCATGGCTGCCAGTGAACTATGTCAAGCCAGGCCACATGCGGGCGAAATGCACACATGCACAGTAAATCACCACGCTTTAACACCAATCACTCTCGTACTCACTCTTCGCAGCATGTGTTGTCATGCATGTATACGGGTTCACAATCGCCGCAAATAGAAAAATTCTCATTACAAATGTTTTGCGACATTTTCCACATTACCATTCCATGATAAGGCACTCTGACCAATAGGCTCTCTCTTTCACATAAAAAAAAAATGCTATAAAAATTGACTGTCAGTACTTTTAAAGGTTTTTTAAAATTCACCAATAAAAAATACCCTTACAGAAATATCTGAAATTATTTTCAATGCCAAAGAACTCGTAACATTGATTCGATGACACTGCCTAGTAATGATAAAACTTTACTTTCCAGCACAACTTAGTAATCCAACTGAGGAAGGTGGAGGTGAAGAAAGAAAAAGTACCAGATTTTGTTTAGCCATGGGGTCCACAGTCCTTTGGATAAGTGCATGGTAACGCCGACACACAGCAGCGTTTTCCTGTTCCATCTGTTCCATGGGTGACAATACTCTGTTGCATATTGAAAAAGGAAAGTATTACGCTTGCCTGGCACTAAAACACAGTTACCATTTTTGTATTTTTCATAAAATAGATTCAATGTACTACACAGAATAAACAGTAGTTGCCACTAAAAGAAAGAGTGTGAGGCCTATTCATAGTTGCCAAATCTTTTAAACAAATCCACATATACAAATCAGCTCTTCACAAGTAATAAGTAATGATCAATAATACAGTCGACTCTCATTAATTCAAACTCAAAGAGACCTCTGAATTTTGTTTGAATTATCAGAAGTTCTTAGATAGATGACTCTGGGTGAGATGACACCTCACATTGTGATTATGCATTGATATTATTACATTTAAAAATTTTTGAAGTGTTTTTAAACCTGAACTGCACTCCATGAAGAAAAAGCAGAGGTGTAAGGTCCACAAGTTTAGCAGCCATTTACTGCAGATCAGACCTTTTAAAAAAATCGTGAAATGCCAACTGCTTCTATGCTATAAGTATGCACCCTTTAGCACAGAGCTATCTGTACCAGTTGAGAAGCATCACGGTTTACCAAGCGCGTGCTTTGTTTCAAACATTTGTTTACAAGCAAAGCCTTTTTCCTTGAATCCCCGAGGTGCTTGTTATTCATTTTTAGACTGTTAGGATTATATAAGCTTGCAAATTTTAAACAGTAGTGGGAAAGCAGCAGATATTTCTTGGTATGGAACAGCAAAAAGTATGAATTAACCGAATGATCGAGTTTTAAATAAGAGGCTTTTAAATACATTGAAAGAATAGAGGGCCAATCAAAAAATTTAATTTTGTTTGAATTAACCGAAATTTTAAATTATTAGAGTTTGAATTATAGCAAGGCTACTGTATAGGCAATTAAATTTTTAACAAGCCACAGATAGCATCATTGCACAAGTGGGTCTTCGCATGCCACCTACCACATGTGACGACACTGCACTACAAAAAGAAGGCCTAGGCCAAAAGAAATAAACTTTTTCATCCATTAAAGGGTCTCTGCAATGCTTATTTGAATAATCATCAAATATCTTCACTGAAAGAGTTCACTGCCTCATGAATCTACAGGCGCGAAAATTTTTAGGATCTGTCAAGTACGAGCAGAGTTACGGGGATTGGCCACAAGCTTTAAGCGCTTTCTCTCCCCTTTCGTACCAGCAATCACGCTGAAAGCTATGCAGAGGTGTATAAAAAAAGACAAGAATCATCAGCGTGCATCATGACCTTGAAAACGTTTTCTTTCTTCGATTGTGCTGCTTACCTTCAGCATGATTGTGAGCACACATGAAGGCACGTAATTGGCAACTTGTGCCAGCAGCAGTAACTATGCAGCTCACGATGCTTATATTGGCAAATGGCCATGAATTTTCGATTGGTGGCATTAATTTAGGGTTATGGCTTTATCAGCTGAGAAAAAAGGGAGTTACTTTTAGTTGACTTTGAGAATCTTTCGTAAATTTCAGCCCATGTGCTCTGCTATGTATGGCTCACATGTTCTCAGGAGCCTCGACTATTGATCGGCATTTTCTGCCCATGCTCAAGAAGTTTTGCAGGGTCCCTTTAAGTTGGTACCCATACCAACCTGGCACCTCTGTCTCTGCACATAATTGCATTCCAGCACCATCAGAGATCACTGTCTATAATGGTGCTGGAATCCTGTCATCTTGAGGTCTTTATCCTGTCATCATACTATTATGAAATTTCTATTTCTTCCTGTTTCTGTTGCTGAGGAAGTAGTAACTGCAAACATTTACGAAAACTAATGGATGCAAAGACTTATATGGGAATGAGCATAGGAGAAGCACAACACAGACACTGAGATTTCGAGGCTAGGTAATGCATTACAGTGAAACCTGGATATAACAAAATTGACAAATTTCTGAAAAAATTGGTTACAAAGAGGATTTCATTATATGCAGGTACAGTACAAAAATTCAAAAAATAGATGTACAAACTAGACAATGCGGGAACTAAAGGCAGATATCACCCAAAGCACTTAAATAGCAATACAAAACTGGGTTATTATTACGATAGCAATTGTATACGCACTCTCGATGAGTTCTTGCCGTCGCCGCCACATTCCCTAAGAAGTCCAAATTAATACCATGCCTCTGGGCATCGTACAAGCGGGTAAAAGCGCACCAGTAGTGCTGAAGTCAAGATCACATGAGCTGACCCTTCTCTATCCCCTGGAGGGTGCATCTGATAACCCCCACAACATACAAAAAACCACACGTCTTAAACGAGCATGAAAAAAACGCCCGGGGAAGGGGGAAGGGGTCGCTCGAGTAGCAGCAGCATAGTTTGCAGAATATACCAACAGCACAACCTAGAAGTAGTTAGAGCATAACTACAGAAGCAACAAATAGGGATGCAAAACTGTCCTTGTTCATTGCTTCCATAATTATGCTGTAACTACTGCTACGTTGCGCTGTTCGTATATTCAGTTATGTCCTAACAACTTGCCTAAGTTTTCATGCTTAGTAAACTTTGATTTTAAGGGCGCAGATGCGGTTGCTGGTGTGTGTGCTATCTCGGCAAGCATCAGTTCGCTTTTAACATGAACAGACAGCATAAAAGAGCACTTTTCTTTGGAGCGGCCATATTTGCTTAGACCAGCGTTTTGTAAGAGTTCTCCGATACCGAATCCAAAGTAGTTGGCTGCACTGCATTGCATTAAACATGCCATCGTGTTGACAGCGCTAATCAGCTAATAGTGAAGGTTACGGTCCCGTGAACTCGCGGCGCCAGATGGCAAAGCGTGTGACAACGCCAAGTTTACAGTGCAGTTCAGAGACTTGTGCAGCAATCAAAGTGTGGCACTGCCAATGCACAGTAGATCTCCCTTTTTTTTTTCATTTGGAGGGAGAGGGAGGGCACATTCTCGATGCGGTCAATCGCATCTTTGATGTTCCACATCACACGACTCCACGACAACCACAAACTGGTTGGTGGACTAAGCCGTGAAATGAATACAATTTTCTGGAATGCCAAAAACATGCGATGCTAATAGTTACCAGTAACTTGGTATGTAAATAACTTGGCTGTAGAATAAACTCATGTAATAAAACACAAAGAAGCACGTGGTTTGCCATGTGAGGTCAAGCTACATGAGAGCTCGTTATTTTGCGATGGCAATGAAAATAACGCAGGCTAGAGTCAGGCTGTAGACAGCTGTGAACAGAACAAACAAGGTTTTGGTTTCACATACGATCATGCCACTCAGTCAATATTCAAATGAATTTCCTAGGTTGAAAAAGGCACGCATTAAATCTGCTAAATACGATAATTTTTCATTCAGAGCTTTATATTCGCTCCACGTAACTTTTTAGATATGGCAAAAAAAATTAAAATAACGCCTTCAGCAAAGTACAGCATGTATTTAATTCCTTCAGTGTCCCTTAGCACTTTCTGCGTCATTGAATTGGACAGTTTGCAATACACCCATAGCTACCAACACCACCATGTATCATGTGAACGCTCTGTACAACATTCTACACTGCTCTGTATCTACTCTGCATCACCGGCATAGTGTAGGCTTTCTGAGACAGGCATTGAAGCCACTGGGGATACTACTGCTGTAACAAATATGGTCAAGCTTGTTTGCGATGAGCAGTTATGTTAAGTTACATAGTGCCGATTATGTCAAGATCAAAATTAATGAAAGTTATGACCCATAAAAATGTATGGGCATTTTCATTCGGTATAAAATTAATGAAATATCTAATGAGCCACAATCAAATTGTCTAATGTCTACTATTGACAGACTTGCATTATTTGCATTATTCCAATATGAGAGTTAATGTCCAACCACAGTATGATTATGAGGCATGCCGTAGAGGGAGACTATATTAGAGACAACAGTGGTAGTGCCACAATAAGCAAACATTATTAACGGTACCTTGTTGCCTTAGTCTTTCCAAGTGTACCACATGTTCTCGAAGTAACCATGGGGTTGGACAGCAATGCAGCATCAGAAGAGGTGTCTGAGTATGGCTGCTGATGAGACTGTCGCGACAAAATACGAGGAGCCACAAATGCCACGGATGGCAGACCCGTTCCACCTGGCAATTCGGGCATGCATGAAGTCTCCAACTCCACAGTTGGTGATGGACATGAGTAGGTTTCATTGCACCTTTCTTGTTCAGCATAAAACTGGTTCAGTGATGTTCCTGCATAGTAGTAAACCACCTGTCATTTTTCATGCAAAAAACATGCCTTCTTAAGAAATTAAAAGTTTAAGCCTCACATTAACCAACAAAATGAAAACATTAAAGAGACCGACAACTGGCCAGAACATGTGATCAGATCCCGGTAAAAAAGAAAAGACCATAAAATATAGAGACAGATTCCAGCATGCTTTAGGATTCATATTTTTAAATCATGTGTATATGTAACAAAAATCATTAGGTGGCACTGCCTAGTGGAAGAGCCTTGAACAGAACAGAACAGAAGGTTTTATTGTGCTAAATAAAGAAGAATACATGCGCATGATATACAGAAAGAGGTCCCATAGTCAGAGACTGCAAGGGGACCTCTCTTGAAGTTGAATTATGAAGTTGATCACTTTGCTGTACGCAGTCATGCAGTCAGATGCTGTCATGCATGCCATAATTAGTCCTCAGAATTAAAGTGTATCTTATTATCCAGTCCCGCTCAATTCCGTACTGTTTAAGAAGTAAAATATATTGGATAGTGAGAAGCCACGTTATTTCGCAGCCACCAATGGAGCTAATCGAGTCGTGGCACATGCCCGCAGAGTGCACGCATGTGCAGCAAGTTACCACTCTGAAACATGAACCGCACTTGTGCTCACTGTTTTACAGCACGTTTTGTCTCATATGTAAAAAAAATTCATATTCACCTTACATAGAAAAATTCTGATTACAATTGTTCCACGGTGTTTTCCACGTTACGATTCCATGATTAGACACTCTTACCGGTGAGCCTTTTATGGCAGTAAAGAAAATATGTATCATAAAAATTGGTTGTTGGCCCCTTTAACACCATCTTTTGGTGGTGCTATTCAAATACAATACACTCTTGTTTAACAGACCTGAAGGGACTAAGAAAATGTGTTCTATTTATTTGGAGTTCAGTTTACTGGGAGATCAACAGAAGAGGAGAATCCAAGTATGAAACCAATCATGCTGGAAGCAGTTGTCCCATCTACAAAGCAGCAGTTCCATTTACTGGGAGTCTACTGTATACCAGTTGCCTAAATATCAGCAGAGAAAGCACAAAGGTGCTTTCTCTGCAACTGGCATCATTGTTGTACGTGATATTATAACTCAATGCATTTTGCACAGCGAACACTAATGAGCACACTTGATATTAGTGTACAAGAGGATGCAAGTCACTGTGGCAACTCAAGTGAGAAAACAAATTTCTAACTAGAAAAATCACTGCCTGAAGGTTAGAAACACACTGCACAGCAGTGACATGAAAATGTATTGGTTCACTCTTTTTGTTCTCTCCGTCATTGAATTGGACAGTTTGCAATACACCCATAGCTACCAACACTACCATGTATCATGTGAACGCTCTGTACAACATTCTACACTTCCCTGTATCTACTCTGCATCACCGGCATAGTGTAGGCTTTCTGGTGGATGCTTCATGGAGCATATACTTGATTGCTACAGCTACTCTGTGGCAGTTGCTTCAAAAGAAACAGGTGTTTCAAGCATAATTTTCAGTCCATGAAAATTAAGGATTTGGACTTATCCATTTAAGAAATTCTAAATAGTGTGTACAATGCTTTTATTTCCTTCAAGTTTCAATTAAATAACAATTGAAGATACCTAAACACACATAAAGATACATCACACTAATAAATGTATAAATTATACCAAATTATCAACAGTTATCTAAGGCAAGAACATACAATGCAAGACTTGAAACTACACGTACTAAACCACGTCAGAGTACAATGTGCACTATAAAACAACCACTAGTGAAACCACAGTCTTCCCTATATTAGAAAGAAAGAAAAAAAAGGGTTTGACATATCATGTAATTCTATATAAAAATTTCAAAGAGTTTACTGTGTTCTTGGTACGAATTTAAGTGCACAAGTTGGCTTCAAGGCACTGCTTTAAAGGGGCTCTGAAACACTTTTGCAAGTAACCATGGAATGAATTCACTGGAAGAGCTTATTGCCTCACGAATTTAACGCCACAAAAATTTTAAGAATCCGTCCAGTGCGAGTAGAGTTAAAAAGATTAGTCGCATGCTACGATTGCATTCTCTCTTCTCTCGTCCCGACAAAAGCGCTGGAAGCTAAGCAGGGAGGGATGGCAGGGCTACAGAAAAACGTCACGTGCACCTCGTGACTTTGAGCACTTTTTTTTTTCTTAAAATGCGTGGCTTTTTCAGAGTGATCACACGCGTATGCATGGACAAGTAGTTCAAATCAGCCAATGGCTGATAGATGGGCTTGCTACGTGTGATTTTTGAGCATATTCCGTGATTTGTCGAGAGAAGAGAAAGCAATTTTTAGCTTACTGATAATTTATTGTGAATTCCAGGCTGCGTGTTGTCGGGAGCCTCTACTACCGATCGGCAGCATTTTCTGACCATGCTCAAAACGTGTTGCAGGGCCCCTGATAATGCAAGAAAGGCAGCTTTGGCAATATATGGGTGTGTTCCTTAAGTTAACTTTCGCAGTTTGTAATTTGGGGTATGGGTAATATGCAAAGGCAGGTTATACACCAAAAAGTATGGTGATATTTTGATGACTCTTCCAGTTTTTTATATGCTGCTGTACATAGTTCTTGGGCACCGGAAGCGCCTAGTGCACTTTCACCCTGATGTCTGCCTTCTTCAATATCGTATTCATCGTGCTTTTTGGCATGGTGTATGCAGCAGCAACCTCAAGATTTTTCTTTTTGACAATCTACTTGGTTAATTATTGCCACCTTTGTGGAAAACAGTAGGTTCTTTCATTTCTAGGTAGCTATCGCATTATTAAAAGGAACGGAGAATTGTGGATAAAGGAACAGCGACTGCGCACAATCGGGTGACGGGCAGGACGAAGGGGAATCATGGGAGATGCTGGCAAGCGGTAGTTTCTACTCGCTTCGCACATCCTCCTCCTCAATCACACCACTAGCTCTCTAAATGAACGTGGGAAAACACCCTTTTACAAGTAAAAGCCACACTTCTTTTGAGGTAAAGCTAACTTCTTGGGTAATGTAGCTTTCTGGGTGAGTTGGTTCATAGTACTAATAGGAAGTGTGGTTTTTCGCTGGTTTCATCTTCTCAACTTCTTGGGGCATTTTGCGCTGCTCGAGATTCGACATATCAAGCTTTCCAGCTATTTTTATTTGATGCAGTCGTAGATTTTCCTATGCATTTACTTTAAAGCACTTTAGTGCTAGATAAAAGTTATCTAAAAGGATGATTCAATTTACCCTAGTTCAATACAGACTGGTTTGACTGTATGTTTCCAGAAATTATGGAACAGTTTAAAGAAAAACAGGGTAACACACCACAACTGACCGAGGATCATGGATCATGCAACAAGTATTAATAAAGTGCCGTTTCAATTCTATGAGAATGTACAAACCCACACAGTTAGTGATAAAGCTAAGAGATAACAGGTAACTAGGCTTCAGAGAAAAACAAGAATGAAAGAACTATGTATTTATTTTTTTACTGAAAATACTTCAAGGACTCTGTATATCAGGGGTGGGAGAAACAAACAAGTTAGTTAATATTGACAAAGTGTGACTCAACAGAATTTTCGAAATGAGCATAATTGACGTGAAGGACAATGTCTGAGGGAAGATTGCTCCATTCGATGACAGTACTGACAAAAATGATTGCAGAGGCGTGGCAGTTACGGGAACAGGGAGGGTATACAGCTTTATGATAGCTGATGCATTGAGAGATGCAATGAGCTGAATTATTGAGAGAACAATTATGCAAAGCATGAAAAAACTTATGATAGAGTAAAAGCCTTGCAATATTGTGGCGCATCTGAATACTAGGCAAACCTGCTTTTTTTTTTGCTTAGGTTAGTATAAGAATACTCAGAATAAATAAATCTAATGGCGCTGTTGTGTATTGATTCTATTAGATCGGTTATAACGCATTCAGGAGATCCCAGACGGAACAAGCATACTCAAATTTGGGTCGAATTACTGTTTTTGTAAGCTGGTAATTTCCCCGAAGGAGATGAATGTGTTATATTTCACTTAAAATAGCCTAAAGTACAGTTAGTGGCATTAGTAATAGCATTGGTTATGTGAGTGGCCCAAGCGAGGTCATCACAAAGAACTTGGCATTGGGTTCTGAAGAGATGACGCTGCCATTAAGAATATTTGAATGCCAGGTTGTCGCGCTATCTATTAAATGAAACTAAGAATGTTTTGTTAGTATTTGCCAGCATTAACCAGTCACTTCACCATTTACCTCATTTTAGTGAGTCGTCATGGAGTGCTAGGTTGGCAGTGATGTTGATGATCCGGCAATAAATGACACAGTCAGTGAACAGTATTTTTGAAGAAATATTACTGGGCAGGTAGTTGATGTAAATGAGGAAAAGGAGTGGACCTGATACAGTGAATTGTGGCACTCCGGATAAGACAGGCGATGAAGTTCATGAATTATTTGCATGCATAATTGTTGTCGGTAAGTGAGTAAGCCCTTAATCCAATCAAAAACAAGAGGATGCAAGTTAAGTCGCAATAGTCTTATTAGCAAGCATTTATGTGGCACTTTTTGAAAGGTTTTCGAAATCAATGAAAAGGGCATCTACGGGTATGTTTTGATCAAGGCTAACATGAATATTGTGGAGAAATAGTGTAAGTTGGGCTTGGAAGAAAAAAAGTTTTTGAAACCCATGTTGACTTGTATTTAAAAAGTTCACAGAATTGAGAAATATGACGGTATGAGTATAGATGACATGTTATATGGTTTTCAAGCAGACACTGGTTAGAGAGATCGGGCGGTAGCTCGAGGGGCCTTTCCTAGGGACTGGAAGAATCTTCCCCGACTTCTATTCATGAGGCAGGATGCTGCATGACAATGACTGCTGAAAAATATGAAAAAGAATAACACTGGTTGCACACTTGGAGTTGATACTATCGGGTCCAGCAGACGAAGTTATCTTTAGTGAGTCAATTATTTTGATAATACCTTCGGGCAAAAATATGATATAAGGCAT